GAATGCATTTCAAATTCAGTCAAGGGCTGAAAGAATGTCTATACCTACAATACAGGAATATTATGACTGGTTGTTTCTGGGAAGGGGAACTAACTAGGAAAACCAAGTTGGGAGAAAGATTTTCCATTATACAACCTTTTGTATCTTTCGAAATTTAAACTACATACCTGTATTATCTACTCAAAAAATGAAAAAGGTAAAAATAAAAAGCATTATACTAAAAAATGTAGCAGGATACCAACGTAGCAGATGAAATAAATCTCCAAATAAAGATATTTAAAATAACTAGTCTACTAAATTCAACACATCTGCAAACTGTTTCTTTGAATCTGGGAGTAAGAAAATATTCATGACTGCAAAACTATGCTCTTGCTTCATAATTTTCAGAGAAATTTCCAATTTTGATTCTTTGCTAGGAAAATGTAAAAAAGTCAAATAATAATTCCATATTCTTCATATTCTAACTTCTGGAACCCCAGTTAAATGACAATAGATAGTATGCACTGAAGCTGGCATTGCCACATCTACTGATTATTATTAGCATCCCCATTTGACAGATAAGGAAACCAAGCCTTCAGAAGTTAATTCATTTGCCCCAGGCAACACAGCTAGGGAGTGAGCCAGATCTCCTGCAGGCAACAAAGTACTTGTACCATGTATTTGCCCTGCGGCAGCACAGCATCCCCTCCAAGGAGGGTGGTAAACACTAAAATAGAAAACATTACTTCTTAGGAGATTGCTCCCACTATAAATACAGTTTAGAGCACTAGTCCATCAGAAAAACTGAATTATATCTGCATATTCCTTTACACTACACAAAGCAGATACAGATGAAAGAGGAATTACCCCACCCAATAATTTAAAAAGCACAAAAATTAGTTTTAAATTGAAATTTTTAAGCTCCTTACAGACTGTCACCCTAAAAAATAAAAATGTAAGCTGAATCATAAGCCTAGAGATTGATAAAAAAAGTCAGAGAATGAGTGTTACAGAAATACGTTACCAATTTAAAGGTTTCCACACCAAGAGGCAAAGACTTTCAGCCTCAGTCATCAAAGTTTTTGGAATGTTTAACACTGACTATCCAAACTATGAGGAAAATGCCTCAGAAACCCACGAACTGTGAGGCTAGCAACAATGATGCCACTTTCATTATAATCCCATTTTCAAAGAGGTGGTAGTTTTCAAAAACATTTCACTCAAATCTAAACTTAAATAATCTTAAAGTTAAAGAGAGAAGAAAGTAAGGCCTGGGTAAGGAAATAAACCACCTAACCAGATACGCCTACTACTAACAGTTATTATTATTATTGTGATTATTATTGATGTGTGCCTAAGCATTTATTTTGGCCTTTTTCAGTGACTGACCTAGGTAACTATTAGAGTGTGTTTCATGACCTGCTGTGGAGGCACAAAGTAAGCATCCAAGTCTTTACTTCCTTACTAACAAGCACATAAGATACTAAACCTCTACTGGACTTCTCTTATCAGGAAAATGAGTAAGAGTCCTTCAAGCTCAAAAACTTTAGGACTCTCTGAAGACATTTTCAGTAGTACATAAAGATGGAGTAAATTCAAATATCTATATGTCAAAGTTTATCCTGCAATTTCATTATTGCAGAAAAGCCAGGTCACTCTGGTACATTTACAGAACTACATGGGGGTGTTGCTTTCTGTAGAAAATAACATCACTGATCACAAATTTCAAACCCCACCTATTAGAAAAAGAGCAAGCTAGAAGAAATTTTCCTTTCACTTTTATACAGTTCTGGAAGTGAAGAGAGACTTTTAAAATGCTAAGAAGTAGTGGGAGTATTACCTATAAGTCAGTCAAATATTATGATACATGTAATAAACATTCTTATAAGGCAAATATACAAAATAAGTGATCATTAGGAACACCTAATTTTTGAACTCTCAAAAATTACATATTAAAAAGATGGGTTACGTAATTCTTATATGTACACAATTTCCAATTTAAACTCCTCTAAAATTAAAGACCTTAAAGGACATCTTTTTTACTTTATTCTTTAAAGCAACTTCAAAATTCAACTGTAATTTATACTACACCCCCAAATAAAATTAACTCAAACCTTCCAATTTAGTCAAAGCAATTCTACAGAAAATTAAATCAATAACTATCCTTTGGCATGCATATAATTCATTCTGGTTTTTCCTAAGAAAATGGCAAAAAAAAAAAGAAAGAAAGAAAAATTCCTTCTATATTTTCTATTTCATAAATTACTTCCTAAAGTTGGTGAGAAGGCACACAAATAAAAGTCAATCTATTTTAAGGAAAATAAGTGTTATTTAACTCTTTACACTCACTATAAAACTCAAGAGTAAATACAAATTTCTGAAGTCTATATATAATTATACTTTATTCTATATAACTATACTGTTATTTTATAAATATGGAAATCTAGTTTATAGAATGTTTCCCAGAATATTTCCCAGAATGTGCTTACTACATTAGAGTCACTTTTAGTCTGTCTGGAATTAAGCTTATGGATGTACCTAGTATGATACAATCCTGTTGCTCTCCAATTCTCCTATTTATGCTGGCAAAATACACAAGTTCACAAAAATCATATTCTTGGAGAGCACAGTTCTTGGAAATTTTTCAATACCACCAGATTCCACTTAAAATATAAGAAAAGAATATACAAATAGCCAATAAGCACATGAAAAGATGCTCAATATCACTAATCATTAGGAAAATGCAAATAAAAATCAGTGAGATACATCATACACATTATGATGGCTATTATAAAAAAAACAAACAGAAAATCACATGTGTCAGTGAGGATGTGAAGAAACTGGAAGCCTTGTGCATTACTGGTAGGAATGTAAAGTGGTATAGCTACCATGGAAAACAGTATGGCAATTCCTCAAAAAATTAAACATATGATCCAGCATTTCCATTTCTGGGTATATACACAAAAGAAGTGAAAGCAGGAATTCAAACAGATATTTGTACCCCCATGTTCACAGCAGCATTATTCACAATAACCAAAAGATGGAAGAACTCATGTATCCACTGACAGGTGGATAAACATATGTGGTGTATATACATACAATGGAATATTACTCAGTCTTAGAAAAGAAAGAAAGTATGGCACATGCTACAACACAGATGAACCTTGAGGACATAATGCTAAGTATAATAAACCAACCACAGAAGAGACAAACATTGTGCAATTCCACTTATATGAGATACCTAGAACAGTCAAATTCACAGACACAGAAAGTAGAATGGTGGTTGCCAAGGGCTAGGAGTAGGGTAAGAGGAGTTGGTATTTAATGGATACAGAGTTTCGGCTGGGGAAAACGTTGTGGTGGAGGTCCTGGAGATGAGTGGTGGTGATAAACCCACAACGATGTGAATGGACTTAATGCCACGCTTAATGCACACTTAGAAATAGTTTAAATGGTCAAACTCGTGTATATTTTACCACAATTTTTAAAAATGAGACAAGGAAAAACAAAATATTAAAACATGTACCAAATTCTTCTCATGCATGCCTCTTCCATCACCCACTAAACCACATGCTGGCTCTGAGTGTCAGTTAAATTCTAATGTAAATGTTTACCATGAGCCCCAAGAAATTAATATAACAATTAAGTTTAAAATGCGTTATAACACTAAAAAAGTTTAATCTGCTTCCTCAAAGTCCTTTTCCAGATGTAGATGCTAATAGCTATTATATGTCTAGTCCAGATTAAATAAACTACTAAAGAAACAAATATAGCTCCCAACTTTGTATTTCAAGCATGATTACTTTTATACCCAGAGAATTTTTCCTTCATTTTTCTTCCAAAGCCTCATAAAGACTATTTTCATTTTGACTAGCAAAATCTTTAGCCAAAATTTTTTCCCCTCAAACTCATACAAGTTCATCTTCACTAATTGGTGGATACAGCATTTTTACAGTAATCAGGATTCATTTCACATCTACCAATTTCAAGTATAAACATTAGAATCTCATTTATGAATCTCCCTCCTTTTAAAAACAAGGTCACATGGGAAAAATAGTAGCTTTTGAAATATTCTAAGCTACATTTTGAGGATGTAGTCAAACTTCAGTTTTTCTCATAATACCTTCTGATTTCACAAACTGTTATAGAAATAAATGTTCAATAACTAGCAAACCAAGTTTTTAAAATTTCCTCTGAGCCACTAAAGTGCATTGTGCTGTTCACATACCCTTTCTCCTCATTTTAAGTGTTCAGCAGACAAAAATCTACCTTCAAAGGTAGATACTAATAGTTTCACATTATAAACACTATGTTCTGATACATTTCAAACAATGCTTGTTCATAAACATAAATCAAAAAGATAAAAATTAAAAGGAACAAAAAGTACCCACATAATCAAACAAAAGGTAAAAGATTTAATTTAGAAAAAAACAATTCTCATATTAAAAACATATCCTTAATTCATTCCATAAACAAGTATGATCATCCAATCTGTTTTCTATTTGTCAAATCTGAAAACAAGAATGTATATAATCAATTACTGACCATTTTTTCTCGATTTTAAATCAATTCTTTCAAACATAATTTTCCATATGAAAGTTAATGGTACCATCTCCTCTACTAGTTTTACTTCCTGTGACTAAGTCTGTATAATTTGTAGTTGTCACTGCACACAGTGTATACATCTAAAAGTCAACAGAAGGAAAAAAGAAAAACACAGAACTAGACATCTTAAAGTTTCCCAGGCATTCAGTTTTTTCTGCTTATCACTGTGGGAGATTCTCCTGATAATAAATCTCTTTTCATTTGTCCACAGCTATTTATTTTAAACCGAGCCCTTTTAAAAAGAGAGTGGGTGTATCTGGTCACACCAGTAACTTCAGGAGGTCTGAAATCTCCCATCCCTTCAATTTGCAATACAGAATTTTAACAAAGATGAAACTCTACAAAAAGAAAACTTATACAGATTTAAAAAAAAAAATCAACTGAAAAGAAACCCATCACCTGGTCATGAGACTTACCTTTTAGCAGCGGCAGAGGTGTTAACTCAATAGGCTTGCCTTGAGACCTAAACTGTGAGGAGCTTTGCGACCTCTTCTGTCTGGCTTTTCTGACGGACTTCCGAGAAAATCCGTCTACTTTATCCACTGATGGAGGAGTAGTTGGTGCTGAGGACATATCCCTACTGAAGAGAAAGAGGTATCATCAACACATTCCTGAGGAGGAAGAAAACCTGCGAGTTACACACAAATTCGAAAATTCTCATACACACTATTTATGAAAATGGGAATACATGAAAAAGAAAGCAAATAAAATCAATTAAGAACACTCATACATTCAATGAGGAAATGTGAAAACTTGGTGGAAAACAGAAGTAACATAAGTACCATGTAAGCGATATTGTAATGCTAACGCCTTGTGCTTCTCCCACTACAACATACATTAAAGATGCTCATTCATACGTGAACTCTTCTAAGCCACGTGCTCATTTTCTAACTGCAAAGCTCTTCTCAATTTGAGATTCCTGAAGTAACTCTGGAGCTATTCTGCAGCTGGAAAACTTCCACCAAAACATTTTCCAAGATACTTAATATTATGAATGGGTTCTAGAGTTGAAACCCTTATGGTACTTCAAGAATCTACACCAATGTATCACAGCAAGGTGAAACTTGGAATTTCTGAACTACTTGGACATGACTTTAAATGCAACGTGCTGTGTTAGCTATGGTAAACTACACCACACCACAAACGAGGACAAGCTAGATTACTTTAAACGAATACATAAAAGGCATAATTAAAATCATTTCAAAGAAGTCTTCTTTTTGAATGAAACCATCTGAAGTTACTAAAGCTTAATTAACAAACTATAATGAAACTGTGCACCAAAGTTGAAATAAAAACATAAATTCACAGCCTACACAGACAACCAAGTGAGTTCCCTTTAAGTTCATCATCAAATATTAATTTTCATTCCATCCAACTAATGGAACTGAACAGTTATTTTGGATTTTTTTAACCTTCTCAAATTATTAAAATAAGGGCTATTTCTTAAAAGTAACAAGCATTAAGCTCAGTTTCATTCGCCAATTTAAACAGATGCCACCATCTCCATGGCACTGAGTCTCCATGCAAGATTAATGGCAGACTTGAATAGAAATAATGCATATGGGAGAAATGCTGAAATGCAATTACTCACCTGTCATCCCAATACATAAGTGTTTTTTAACCTCTAAATAAAAGAGTAAGGGAGTTTCTTCGTGAACGTGTGAGAATAAAAAGTTACCTGGATTAGCTGGATTCTGGCAAAGTAAAAATAACAAAAACATAAACAAAAAACAAACAAAACCGAGTGATGTTGAGGTGTGGAATTTTCAGGTCTTGCTTGGTTCTCTATTTTTTTTTTAAAGTTTTTAGCAATCTATCTAATTTAGCATTAAATAAAATGTGACAGATAAAAAGGAATTGCAAACTACGAATAACTACAGAAGTAAAATCACTTAAAAATGTTCGTAAAGACTGCATTAGCAAGAAGCCCAAATCACATTTGTATGTTGGAAATTTAGGGACCGCTTTTCCAATCTGGTATATGAATTACTTAGGTTTCATTTAACCCTCACAACACAGGATTTCAGTAAATTCTGTTTCTGCATCACTCTTTTTGCTTCTTAAAGACAAGATTCTTCATTTCTTAAAATAAAGGTTCTTCACCTCCTATCTCTAAAGATGATTTATCGGTAGCAAAAAAAAATTTTAACCATTTGCCCCTTACGCCCGCGGCCCAGAATAAACGTCAAGGATCTCAACCCTAAAGCGCTGCAGAACTGAACGTGCAGTAGCGGCAACGGGTCGGTGCAAAGCCCGGGGAAACAGGTTTCGCCCTGGATCAAAGCGCCTGAAGCTTTATCATCCTCTAAGCAGCGGGCACGGGGCATTTCCAAGGCTCAGGATAATCCAAAGGCGGTACTAGGGTGGAGGGAAAAGCCAGGGAAGGGGTTTGTCTGTAGGGACGCTCACATACTCCCTTTGCTCCCACCCACCCTCCGCCACCCCAAGCTGCTACAGAATCCTTCTCACTACACCAATTCCCTTTCCCCCACCCCGCACCCGTCAGTGGATAAAGGGGGACAAGAATACGCCTCCAATGCCCGAAGGTGGAGGAAAAGGGGGGAGGGGGCCAGAGTGGATGAGAGGCATCACCAGAAGCATTTGCAGGTAAATCAGACAAGTGGGACCGGCGCTCCCTCTCCCACACCTCACCCCACCGCACCCCTCTCCGGCCCGAGCCAGGCCTTTCCGAGGCCAGTGCGCTGCAGGTTCTCCTGGAGGAGGAGGAAGGGAAGGAGGAAAAGAAGCAGACGAGCCGCGGTGCTGGAGGGACGAAGTTACCTTGAAGCTTCTGGAGAAGAATCCGAAGATGATCTGTGGTTTCGAGGGGCGGGAGATGGGAGAGAGGGCCGCAGCGGGGGCGGGTGGCGGGACCGGGACGTGCGGGGGGAGGTCCGGTCAGCGAAAGGGAGCCCGGGGCGAC